GTGCAGTCAAGGCAAGCCTGTAGCTTTAGCTTTGCCACCTCAGTCCAAGTTTTTACTGATTTGTTGGTTTCTTGGTTTTCAGTCTTTGTCTGTAAGCAGGTACAAGGTGAATCATACAATGATCAGAATGTCCCACAGCTGCTCGTAAGACCGATAAGCATCTTTTAATGTTGTGTAGCGATGGTCTAAAGTATTCTTGCCTCTAGTGAAACAATTGACATGCTGAAAATAGTTCGGTAGCTCTTAAAGTTTGCTTTATTAAAATCCCTTAAAATAATTTGAAATGAATCTGGGTATTTAACTTCAGCCCACATAATCTGGTCAGCTAGAGTTCGTAATGCATTGTTTACACAAACTTGTGGAGGAACATACACAGTAATTAGGAGAAATGAGAACTCTTGTGGAGAATAGAATGGCCTGCAGTTTATAATTTAAGTCTCTAAATCCACATCACAGAATTTCTTTAGTTATATCTCTGGACCAGCGGCTGTTAATATAAAAACACAAGCCGCCTCCCTTCTTTTTACGAGATGTGTCTGCAATTCTGTCTGCTCTATATATCTGAAATCTTTGGATATGTGGGGTACTATCATCAATTCACTCATTTAGCTAAGGTTCAGTGAAGCAGAGAGCTGCTGAGTTGTAAAAATCAAAATTGCATTTATTTAAAAGAAGTATTTCATCCAACTTATTAGTGAGTGAACATAAATTAGTCAGAAAAAGTGAAGGGATAGGGGTTTTTATCCCACTTTTCCTTAGGCACCATCTTGGCTAAAAGATAATCAACGTTTCAAATTTCAGCTATTTGCGATATTAATAACTGCATTGTCAAATGTATTTCATCCTAAACTTTGGTTTATGTGCACTCCTTCCTCCTACACATTTGTGGCTATTGCAAAATGATGGGCTTTGGATATGGTTTGTTAATAAACTGAACAAAGGTGCATCACAAAAGGAATAGTCTTTTGAGCAGGTTTAAACTTGCTATTTTGTACTGTTAAAGATATGCAGCAGTTAAAGAGATAAAACAAACTTCACAAGAGGAACATTTTGCTTTGTATTTTTAGTTCTACTAAGATATGAATAAATCTCAAAATACAACGTAATTTAAAGAGTGTAGGGCTCCTAAAAATTTTTACCTTTGTAGTGGATAACTGTACTGAGATGACAAGCAACAGTGGGAAGAAGGAAAGCTTAATGCTGCACATGCCTGCATAATAAGCAGAAAGGAAATGTAGACAATCACTCATAAAGAAATAGTTACAGACAAATATCATAGTTTACCTATTTCAGCAGGGCCAATATGTCAGCTTTTCAGTGCTGAAACAGAAATCAAACTAGTGAATATATATAAAGTTGTCATGGAAGTCTTTTTTGCACTGATCAAGAGATCATTTTTATTAATTGGATTTTTGTCACACACCATGAATAGTTACATAGTGAAGAAAGCCAAACATTGCTGGAAGCAACTGACAAAGATCAACTGATATTTCTGTACCCTCTCTTAAAACACTTAAGTTTTCTGCATTCAATTCTGCTTAATTTAATTGCTACTTGCAAAATTAATTCTTCTGTCAAGATTGTCACATCTTAAATACAGATAAATTGCTAGAGGTACATTATATATTCATACAGAAAAATACGAGACTAGTTGTTTTCACAATATTTATATGCTACAGTAACTATAAGCAATTTGTCAAGATAAAATTGAGGAGTACAGAAAACTGTTACTTGTTCTATATAGTTTGGTCCAATATATTTTCATGTAGTGGTTATTCTCTCCCTCCTTTAACAGAATATAATACAACATATAATACATGCACAGTCATTCACTTGTGAACAGATGAATAAAAGACAACATTCAGGCTAACATTTGTACACCCAAGTAGTTCACCCAACCATACATAACTAAAGGCTATTTTACAGCTACGCAGCATAATGGTCAACACCGCTGATCTAAAGTGAGCACCATATATATATTTACACATGTACATATATACAATTGTATATAAAATGGAAGAAACAAAAACTCCTGGGGTTGGTCAAAAAGATGCCATTCCTAGGCTGTACATAATGTGTGATATTTACAGCAACTTGAAAATAAAAGCTGCAACAAAATTTATTGCCAATGCCCTTTATAAATTTCTCCTACTTTTTGTATAGATGCCCTATTTAATGATACCTATGAACTGTCCATATTTCTGGCCCTTTATAAGATCCCTGCCCGAGGAAATTTCAAGCAAATATTTTCTATGGCTTCACTCATATATCAGTTCTTTCAGCTTTGTGCATATATATACACATATTCTTGCACAGAGTACTTATGTCAGACTGGTAAAGCATCCAAGCATTTAAAACTAGATTGCAACAAGAGCCTGAAAAACAAAAGTGAAATTTATACCTTTCTACAAGTGGGAAATAAAAATTATAAATCCCAAAATAGGCTAGATATTAAAATACACTTGCATGATTTAGAATTATAGATTCCATATTTACTTGGAAGGAAGCCACAATGAATTCAAATGGCTTTCTAATAAAAATGTTTTAGATTGTACTTTCAGACAGATTTACCATACTAAAAAAGAAGCATAAAATCATAATCCAATGTAACAATTCTTTGGTGCTCTACAATCCATAATATAAATGAAATGCATTTTACTTGACTATTTTGCTAGCATTACAATACTGAACTACAGAGTATTCAGACACCTTCACTTTTGTCAATTTTGTTATGCTGCAGCCTGATTCTAGTTATTGAAATTCATTTTTTTCTCATTAATCTACTCAATATCCCATAATGACAAAAACAGAATGTTAGAAATATCTGTAAATTTATTAAAAAGAAAAAACTGAAATATCACATTGGTTTAATTATTCAGACCCTTTGCAACGATACTTGAAATTTAGTTCAGGTGCCTCCCTTGATTGCTGCTAACATGTTTCTACACCTTGGAGTCTACCTGTGGTAAATTTAATTGGTTGGACATGATTTGGAAAGGAGCACACCTCACAGCTAACAATACATACTGTAGCAGAGCAAAAGCCATGAGGTCAGTAACAGAGGTGACCAAGAACCTGATGGCTGCTCTGAGCTTGATCCTGTGTGGAGATGGGAGAGTTCCCAAAAGACAACCATCACTTCAACCCTCCATCAATCTGGCCTTTATAGCAGAATTGCTAGATGGAAGCCTTTCTTTAGTGCAAAACACATGAAAGCCTGCTTGGAGTTTGCAAAAAAGCACCTTAAGGAGTCTCAGACAATGAGGAACAAAATTCTCTGGTCTGATGAAACCAAGATTGAACTGTTTGGCCTCAATTTTAAACATTATATTTGGAGGAAATCAGCTACCTGCCCAATATCATCCCAGCAGTAAAGCATGGTAGTGGCAGCATCATGCAGTGAGGGTGTTTTTCAGCAGCAAGGACTAGGAGACTGGTCTAGGTTGAGGGAAAACTGAATGGAACAAAGTACTCAATAAATCTGTATAACAGCACCCAGGATCTCATACTGGGCTGAAGATCATTTTCCAATATGACAATGATCCTAAGCACACAGGAATGGCTTAGAGACAACTCTGTAAATATCCTAGAGTGGCCCTGCCAGAGCCCCGACTTGAACCCTATTGAACATCTCTGGAAGGACCTGAAAATGGATGTCCACCAACAGTTGCCATCTAGCTGACTGAGCTTGAAAGGATTTGCAAGATAGAATGGCAAAAAATCACCCAATCCAGATGTGCAAAGCTTGACGCTTCATACTCCAAAAGATTTGAGGCTGTAATTGATGCCAAAGATGCTTCAATAAATACTGACTGAAGGGCTGAATACTTATGCCAATGTGATATTTGAGTTTTTTCTTTTTAATAAATTTACAGAGATTTCTAAACTTTTGTTTTCACTTTATGAGATATTGAGTGTAGATTGAGAAAAAATGAATTTCTGTAGAATCAGGCTGCAGCACAACAAAATTAACAAAAGATAGTGTGAATACTTTCTGAACACATCTTATGTAAACTCTCTCAGACAATTGTCTGGGTTGCTGCTACAAAATACCATCAGTTTTTTTTACCAGCATTGCTTTGAAGACTCAAGTGCACAGAGCAAGAAAATAACACTCTTATATTTCCCCAAATTGGGGATATTTTATTCTAGATACATATTCAAAAAAGTTAATTCATTTAGTCAAAAGTATTTTAACAGGAAAAAGTGCCAAAACATTCATTTGCTGGCATTTCAGTAGCAAGGGATTTTAAAAAAGCAAATACTCAAGAATGAAATAAAATGCTCCATACCAATTTGTGTTATTGATTTGGAAAATTATCAAAGCAAATTATATATCACATTCCAAACTAAATGTCTACTTAAAATAATTTGTTTTCCAGTAAGATAATCCATGCTGCATTTTGAATCCATGGAGAGAACTTGGGATATGTTATTATCAAATTTATTTGCCACCTATCTTGCCATGGGGCATATTAAAGTATTCCAATTAGGCTCTGATAATCTGAACAGACTCTTCTTTTGTTCAGATTCCAGCAATTATTCCTACTCTCTCTCCTTTACTAGAAATATCTAGCTGAATTTTCTGTTTGCATTTCGGTATTCTGAAGCATTTAACTTCAGAATATAATTAACACTATACAAAAGTGACAATTACCCATCTTGTCTCATTTATCTGCATGCTCAAATTACTTTATTAGATCTTTAATCAACTCTCTATGACAATTCCATTAATAATGAAAATATCAAATGGCATAGTGGAAAGTAAATTTGGAAAAAATGTTTTTTCAATATCTTTATCAACAGTTACTATATATGAAATGATTTATTGGAATAGATATCAACTAGAGATCTATTTGAATAAACCACAAATTGGTCCATTTTACATATTTTGCACAATACTTACAACCAATTATATTTAATAGTAATGAATGCTTTCCCTTGGATGGGGAATTTTTTTTAAATTACACTATTCCTTTGTTAGATGACTCTTTTTTTAAAAAAAGATTGCTTGCATTTAATTATGGGGAAAGCTGCCTTGGAGATTTTTTTTTTAATCTTGTCTGTATCAAATCAAAACCTTCATTTTAGCCATCACTCATGCATTTAAGACAAGATGGATTAAAAATCAAGAGTTGAAGATAACTTTCCAGTGCACTTTTGCTTTGTACAAGGCTTGAAATTCTAAAACCTCCAGAAGAGATTTCAGTATCAACATTTTATTGCTTTGGTTCTGTTGCAAACAGATAATTATGCCACATCTCATATATTTTAACACAGAAGATCTGAACATAATTTGACGTCTTATAAAGAAACAAAAATTCTGTTTCTAATTTAAGTGCAGAATGTGAAACTACTAAGTGCTTACTTTATACTGGATTTGGACACAAGTCTTACTATAATCCAGATTTTCTACAGTAAAATTAGAAAGATAAAAAAATAACAACAGCACTTAGACTTATATACCACTTCACAGTGCTTTACAGCTTTGTCTAAGCAGTTTACCAAATCAGACCAGACCCCAACTATCTGGGTCCTCATTTTACCGATCTCAGAAGGATGGAAAGCTGAGTAAACCTTGAGCCGGTGACTCAAACTGCCAAACTGCAGGCAGCTGGGAGTCAGCAGAAGTAGCCTGCAGTACTGCATTCTAACGATCACCGCAGCTCTTGGGTTTGTTTGGAACAAAAGAAATTACTGGCTAGCAACATGCACAGTATCATGCTTTGTCATAACAAGCAAAACTAAATTAAACTCTAATAAATTACTGCTTAAAGCCTATGTTAACATAGTAAGACAAAGTAACAAAAGTTCAGTGAAATAAAGTATTCACAGCTCTGAACAGGAAGATTGGTGATGTCAAGTAGAATGGGTTAAATATGATTATTGTCAAACAACATGACAACAAGTTGTCTGACTTGATGTACATAATAGTCCCTCCTTCGGGTTTCGCTGAATGTTCACAGATATTGTTTTTTCACACAGAGGTAGTTGTAGCACATTATTTTTCAAGTTCTTGTTCTTTATTTGTTCTAACTCATTTGCCGCATCTGACATTTGGTCAGAAAACAATTTTATGCTGCTCAAAGATGAAACTGGATTTACATTCCCAGAACTTATGCACATTTTCCATGTTGATTTCTCCTGCACCTTCACACTGGAAAACGAAATATTTTGGGGATCAATTATGTATTTAGTGCTACTGTGAATCTGAGAACCTAAACAAATGCTCATCAACTTGAGACTTTCAACCAGATCACCCGCACTTCTTGATGACAACTGCATGGCATTACCAGATCCTGCACATCTGCGAGTAGAACCTGAATTATTATTCGTGCTTCCGTTAGAGCTACTGGAAGGACTTCCACCCTCTTTATGATTATCACCAGGACTTGTTTTGTCAATCCCTCCATTTCCATTGCTTGGTTTTCCTTGTCCACTTCCATCTCCTTGATTTCCTGGAGGACCTTCACTACTATCTCTTCTATGCCAGGAATAAGTAAATCCACTGTCTTTATCTAAACGCCGCCTACTTTCTGAGTCGTCATCACTTGTTTCTGAGCTACTGCAACTAGATCCACGACCCTGACTTTTCCTTCTGTGGTAACGTTTATGCACAGTGCTGGGTGAAGCAATATTCATTTTTAGGCGACTTAATTTAGGGGGCAAATTCTCATCCATATCAAATTCATCATCAGATTCCCCTTCCTCAAAAATCTGATTTAGAACGGGGGCACTTTTTCGAGAAGTAAGACGATTTGTAACAGAAGGCTTACGACGCAGAACAACTTGATTTGACAGAGAAACATTTTTTTTATCTTCTTCATCCTCCTCTTCATCTTCTTCTACTCTAAACAAGCACTTCCGACTACTAGTTGTAGGTTTTAAATTCACTGAGGGAACAACTGAAAGTGCTGGTCCAGCTAATTCAGGAACATCCTCTTTCTTGACCGACTCAAGTGCCTTACTTCTATGTCCATTAAGAACATTTTCAGCATTACGAGCAGGAGATTGGGGAACAGCTGCATGGGATAATGGAGAAGCTGTAAGGTCATCATCTAAATCTTGGGGAACATCTATTTTTGTTGGCCATGATTGCCTAAAATAAACAAAACGGAGGAATCAAGAAAATGCAAATTTGGTTAAAAATAAAAAGGAAAAATACTTCAAAGCAAGAGATTCCATGTTGTTTCTCATTTTAATACAATATATTATTGCTGCAAATATTAAAAATAAATAATATGTATTTTAAAATTAATAACATTTTTATCCATTAAATTGAGTTCAAACTTTTGAATAATTAATTCTGTGTGGCTACACCTTAAACTTTAATTTCTTAAATCATTCCAGGCTGTCTTTTGAAAACAGAGAGACAAATTAAGGCATCTTATATCAACATATAAACAAAATGGAAATTTCACTATGTCTCAAATATTTGGATCAATTTTTTCTCTTAATGGAATTAATTATTATTATTATTTTAATAACTAAAGTGATACTAACGTACTGATATGTAGTGCAACTTATTAGCAATTTAAAAATGCCACAGTAATAGTAATAATGGAAGAGGCAAGTCCAATAGATATTATGGTACCTCCAGAACAATCTTTTATAATCTAGCCAACATTGATTCCCATTTCTGTGTATTCCTGTGGCTCTCAAAAGAACTGCTGGAACCTTCCCATATGTAAGTGGGACAGGTAACTGATATCCCAGCTTGGAGGCATGCAAATAAAAGAGAAAAAATTTAGACTCAGAGAGCCAACTGTTCACTTTCTCAAAGAAAAAGTAGTGTGGACCATTTTAAAACAAATAGGTGAAAGAAAAACAATTGTATTGATTTTCATGGAACCAGTGGGTAACCCACAGTGCCCTCTGAAATTTTTTTTCATCAATGAGGAATCAGACCAATTTGAACTTGATTGAGAATGAGACTTCAGATATCAACTAATTTTTATTAGTGGATTTCTAGCCCAAATTTCAGGTATGGAAATTTTTTAAAAACGTTAATATTTTTACTTCTTTTGTCGTCATGTTTGATATCTATTACAACTCTGACAGACTTTAACTGCTTCAGAGCTACTTAAAAAACTAAATGTAGATAGTTTAGGCCTGTTTCTATTGATTGCCTTGGTGCTAATTTTAAATTTGAGCTTTTAAGAAATCCATTCAACCAGTCTTATGCCAATATTTCAGAAGTTCAATCCTGCTTAGATTAACAAATTTCCAAGTGTATGCAGATTTTCACTCTTAAAATACTCATAACTTTAAACTGTAATCCTATTCTCATTCTGGGCACCACCCCATTCCTAATTTTCCCTGTAAAAATCACACTCTCCAAAACCACTAAACCTTTTTCTTTAAAAAAAATCTTACAAACAAACAAAAACAAGAACAGTGACACTGTAAGAAAACATAAGTATTGGAAATGTTATCCTTCTCCCACCTTTATTTCAACTGCAGTCACCCAGTTGCTACTTTGAAAATATAAACTGAAACTAACATCAAGTATTGGATTCAATCATATAAAACAAGAAGTATTTAACTTATGCTTTTTTTTCATTTACTAAAATAAGATTTCTTGATTCATATAGTCTGTTTGGTGGATTTTTTAAAATACAGTGCCATTTTCCTGAACTTGTTTGGGCTCTTTCTATATTATAATATATAATTTATTTTAGCTTCTATTTATAGTGATTTTAAATAGTCTTCCTGAAGAAACCCTCCTAATTATATATTCAAGTTGTTTATTCCATTTCTACATTTAAATTAGTTTAATATTTTTAGAGAGTTTATTTTTCTATCTTCGGCTTTTTCATGCAACTATTCTTTAGAAAAGGTTGCAATAAGATTTAAGCATTATCATTTTTAATTGCTTTGTCTTTCTGTATCTCAAAATTAACACCATAATTGTTTTTTTTTAAAATATTAGAGAATACAAATACTCTCTTATTATTATTATGCATATATCTTAGACTTAAAGCCTCTATCAATAAATTTGAGCACCAATTATTTCTTAGCCTTGAAATTCATGTAATATCCTGCAATTTATTCAGGTACAGACTGAAAGAGAGACCTTTGTCCAGGGATGGGCTTCAAAAAATTTAGCAACCAGTTCTCTGCTCAGTGGCTGGTTGGGCGTGGCCATGGTGGGTGTGGCCTAATCAGCCTGCCGCACCATGTGGGTGGGGGGCGTTTTCGTCCTCCTTGGACTCTGGAGGATTTCCTCAAGCCTCTGGGAGAGTGAAAACAGCCTCCCTGGGCTCTGGAGGCTCTCCAGAGGCTGGAAATTGATCTGTTTCCAGACTTCCGGAGCCTCCGAGAGGCCGATTTTTTGCCTCCCTGAGCTTCCACACGAGCCCTGCACTTACCTGGGATCCAAAACTGGCTGTGTGGAGACTCCTGGGAGGAGTGGAGCGGGCGGGCAGTGCCAGCCAGTTGTTATAACTACCGGTTTGGTGAACAGATGTAAAATTAACCTGCAGCAGCCCATCCCTGCCTTTGTCTAAAAATCTACACATCATCATATTTACTATGAGAAAGAAATGTATTATTGCTGAATGAGAACACACAATACTAAAGCAATTTACCATTTTCTATAGCTAACACTCTTACAAATATGTACTTCTCATATTTCAGGAGGGTTATACTTGTTATACAGATAATTGCATTCATTCTACAATATTTTCAAAATATACATTTAAAATAAAGTTGTGAGCCCCCTTAAAAGGATTTAGATACAAATAATAAAAGTTGGGATGGATGGATGGATGGATGGATAGATGTGCACACACATACATAATAGGTAGAATCTAAAATCTTACCTAAATTGTGCTTTTATATTGCTTGGACTTGCTGATCTGGTTTGTATTTCTTTTTCTTGTTTCTCTCTTAAAATCCGCTCTGCTAGTAAAAAGTAGGTAGCAGTGATGTGATTGTATTTGTTAGTTTCCAGAGCCCTAAAGAAATGAAATATGTATTAATGGGTTTCTTCAAACTGGACATATTGCCAACAAGTTGAAGAGTATCTCATTACAGAAATTTATACTTTAGATATCTTTACAAATGACCACTGCATTACTAAAAACTGGGAAATTAATGCTGCAAGTTCAATAATTAGACAGCAATACCTGAAGTAGTACAATGGTTAGAATGCATTATTGCAGGCTGACTGTACTAATTGTGAGGAGTTTCAATCTTGACTGGCTCAAGATTGACTCAGCCTTCCATCCTTCCAAAGTTGTTAAAATAAGGACCCATATTGTTGGAGACAATATACATACTCTGGAAAACGTTTACAGAGTGCTGTAAAGCACTATGAAGCAGTATATAAGTCTAAGTGGTATTGCTAGTCCTTGACTTATGACCTATTGTTTATCAACCGCTTGAAGTTACACTGTTCCCTCCTCCCAGGGTACTTACTTACAACTCGGTTATGAAGTTCAGAAGGGCGTCTTCCCCCCTCCCCCCACAATCACTTGACTGTATGTTGGGTGTTCAGCAACCAGCTTGCATTTAGGGCTGTTTGCAGAAGGTGACCACATTTATTGACATTTTTGCCTAAAACCAGCATTTACTTTTTTTTTTCTTTTTGGCAAACTAGCCATTAGCAAACTGGTTCACTTAATATCTGTGGCATTTGCTTAACAACCTCCAGAACAAAGATTGGTTTGGTCAAGTGGATGACAGCTGCCATAATGGACGACCAGTACAGTCATAGGTTGAGGAGTACCTGTATATGAAAACAAAATCTTAGTAGCTGAAAAAATGTTCTGGATTACAATAATTTATTGAATGTGAGTCCCACAGTATTTGCAATTGCCAGATATAGCATACAATCACTTTCTTATATTTCACCATGCAGCTCTACAACAGAATTTCTGCCATATGTGGCTAGACTACTGTCACAAATCTAGTTGTAACTGAGATTACTGAGAACTAGTTTATTTTCAATGACGTTTAGCCTAAAAGAAGCAACCTTAGGAACACATTCCCTCTTTGGAGAAGTGACACTTCAAGTGCCATGGATGGCCTTTTCTTCCACATTCATTCAGAGTTTGGGTGATTATCACTACTTAGTGGATACCAGGAAGCAAATTAAAGGAAGAAGTCAGTCAAGAAACATACTGTATATTATCTTTAAACATTCAATACTAAGACCTCTTGTTCACTTGGCAGGAACAAAAACACAGAATTGATAGTCGGAAAAGCGGAGTTATTCTACTTAGAATTTTTTAGAGGAAAGGAGGAAGAAGAAAGAAAAGAAGAGTCACTAATTGAATTCAAGAGGAGTGTATAGCAGTAATTGAAAAGGAAAAAGAAGAAGGTGCAGTAGGTGGTGGTGTACCCAGAGCAACGAGAATTACGATCTATAAGAGCAATAAAACCCTCTGATAAAGCTTAACATGGATGAAAGGAAATTGATTATGATTAACATAAACGGACTTAATTTGGCTACTAAAAGAAGGAAAGTATTTCACAAATTAGAGAAATTAAAATTTGATATAATTTGTTTACAAGAAGTACATAGTAAAAAACAACATGAATATATATTGAAACAAAAAAAATTAGGCAAAGTATTCATGTCACTGACACAATCAAAGAAAAGAGGCGTGGTCTTATATATCAGAGATACAATTGTGGCAGAATTAATTTATACAGATGATGATGGAAGGATTTTGATGGTGGAAATAATGGACAATAATGTTAAAGCACTTTTAATTGCAATTTATGCTCCAAATGATAATCAAGAAGAATTCTACAGGAAATCACATATGAAAATAATTGAATTGGATTATGTTAATATTTGTATGATGGGTGACCTTAATGGAATAATTAATGATCGGTTGGACTATAAAACACAGAAATCAACAAAGAAAGCTAGAAAGATATTACCAAAATCTTTCTTTTGAATGATAGAAGAATTAAACTTAAAAATGCATGGAGAGAGAGAAATGTGGAAAGTAAGCAATATTCTTTTTACTAGACATGCATCATGGCCTAGAATAAATATGATATGGATGTCAGCAGAACTACTTACTAAGATACGAGAAATTGAAATAGAACCAAGCACTTGGGCAGACCACAATCCAATGACAGTTATTTGGAAAGGATATGAGATCTAAATGGATTTTAAATAATACAATATTAAAGGAAAAAGATTTTAAACAGAAAATAGAGAAAGAATTGGCTTTCTTTTTTAAAGAAAATAGAAAAGAGGATACTTCTTTACAGAATCTCTGGGACATGATGAAGGCCTGCACAAGAAGTTTGATAATTGACTATACAAGGAAAGGAAATATAAAACAGAAAAAGACTTTTAGGTCTTTGGAGGATGACTATGAAAGACTGGAAAAAGAGTTACAGAAGTTCCCGCAAAAAAAGACATTAAGAATAAAATGGATATAATTAAACATAAAATGGGACTAATGGAAAAAGAGGAACTATCACAAAAAATTAAAAATGCTAAACAAAATTACTTTGAAGATGCAAACAAACCAGGCAGATGGCTAGCCTATAAACTGAGAAAGGAAAGAGAATCAAGAAGGATTAATCAATTAATAAATGAAGGACATGCTTGCTATGGAAATGAGGAGAAGAAAAAAATATACTATGGAAAACTGTATTTTCAAGAGAATATTCAAGAAGAAAAAGTTAAGCAATACTTACAGAAAGCGAATTTACCTCAGATACCTAAAGACATTGAAATAATGCTAGAAGGGAACATAATGATGATGGAACTAACAGAAGCTTTAAAAAAACAGAATGTTGGAAAAGCACCAGGTCCAGATGGATTGCCAGCAGAACTTTACAAGACTTTCCAGGAAATACTGAATTTCCATCTGTTAGAAGTTATGAATGAAGTTATGTTAAAGAAAAGAATACCCAAAACATGGTCAGACACATATATTATACAGAAGGAGGATACAGACCTGCAACAAGTTAAAAATTATAGACCTATATCCCTATTAAATTCATATTATAAAATCTTCACTTCCATTTTGGCAGAAAGACTGAAAAGATACTTAATGATCAACATGTATAAAGTTATACATGTTGATCAAAATGGATTCCTGCCAAAGAGACAAATTAAAAACGTGAGAATAACCCTGGACACTTTGGAATATTATGAGGCACATCCAGTAAAGCAAAAGGCTTCCATGGTTCTGGATGCACAAAAAGCCTTTGACAACGTGAGTTGGCGATTTATGTTATTGCAATTGGAACAAATGGGCTTTGGTAAAAAAAATTATTCAAGCCATTGAAATGATATGTCATAAACAAACTGCAAAGGATAAATTTAAATAAATAAATAAATAAATGATAAATGCAGAATTAACAGAATCTATAGATATAAGAAAAAGGACAAGACAAGGTTGTCCACTGTCGCCTCTGCTGTTTGTGTTAACTTTGGAAGTGTTGAATAAGAATATTAGAGAAGATAAAGAAATAAAAGGAATGAAAATTAAAAAGGAAGAGTATAAATTGCAAGCTTTTGTAGATGATCTGGCATTCCATACTAGAGGATCCATTGGAAACAGCACCTAAATTAATTAATAAATTAATGCATTGGAAACAGCACCTAAAAGATAGGAGAATATGGAAAAGTAGCAGGTTTGAAAATAAATAAAGATAAAACAAAAGTATTAACAAAAAATATGTTAGCAAGACAAAAGAGTTGGAAGCAGTTTTAGAAATACAGGTCACAAATAAGGTTAAGTATTTAGGGATACACATTACACCAAGATGTAGCACACTGAAGGAGGACAATTATATTGTTTAATTATATTAAACTCAAACAGCAGATTGCTACAGATTTGGCAAAATGGGAAAATTTACAAATATTGATTGGGAGAATATCTACAATTAAGATGAATGTATTGCCTAGAATTCTGTATTTATTCCAGACAATTCTAGTCCGACTAGGTAGAGTTTTTTGAAGACTTAAACAGAACTGTGTTGAAATATATTTGGCAGGGAAAGAAAGGAAGAATAAAACTTAAACTGCTACAAGATGCAAAAATAAGAGGAGGGTTTGCCTTGCCTAACTGGGAGCTATATTACCAGGTGACAAGTTTGATGTGGGTAAAGGAATGGATAACATTAAGAAACACTAGACTATTGACTTTAGAAGAACATGACTTGCTGCTAGTCTGGCATGCTTTCCTTTGATATAAGGGAACTAAAACACGGGGTACTTTAGAAGACATTGAGAGGCACTGTTTTTGAACTGGAAGAAGACAAAAAGACAATATTATTTAAAAATTCCATTATGGATATCTAGTTTAATGTGTGGCTAAAGGAGTGGTGTAAAAGGGAAGACTTTGGTTTTATTAGTCATGATGTCTGCAGCTGGTCCAATGAAAAACTGTACAAAAGAGATGGTTTGCATCCATCAAAGAAAGGGACTGAGTTACTTGGCATTACATTCACAGATTTTCATTTAAACTGAACAGCGGGGACAGAGAATTAATGGATTCAGAACATTTCTGTCCCCAGCAACCTAAAACTAATAAGGATACCAGTGTACGCAAAATAGATATCCGGGCAGGTAAGATTATCAACCTTGATGCCAACCAAAACCAAGCATTTAATAGCAAGTACCATACCATGTGCACTAATCAAACAGGTGGCAAGAAAGTAGGGGCAGGCAGGCACAACACAGGTTATGTAGACAGTAAACACAGGGTCAGACATAAAGATCTCAAGTGCCCAAATGCACAAAGTCTGGGTAACAAACAGGGTGAACTCGAACTACAAATACACGAAGGTAAATATGATATAGTTGGAATAACAGAAATTTGGTGGGATGAAACCCATGACTGGAACATACTGGTAGAAGGATACAAATTATTCAAAAAAAAACCAGGCTCCATAAAAGAGGAGGTGGAGTTGCACTGTATGTAAAGGACTACTATATTGCTACAGAAATGCATGAAACCAAAGATGAAAACCTCCTAGAATGCATATGGGTCAATATAAAAGACAAAAAAAAAAAATGACATGGCCATAGGTGTATGTTATGACCCCCCTTCGAAATTCAAATGAACAAAACAGAAAGCAGCCGTTTCACAATTAAATCAAATGGAAAGAAGTCTTATTAGATAACGGCTGGCAGAAACCACAGCATAAATCTTACTCTGTCCGGCAAACCAGTCCTGGCAATAAATCCTCAGCCTCAGAGCTCTTTGCTGTAACGTCCTCACTCAAATAGTCATTTTGTTTCTGGCGAAATGCACCAGCCCAGCTGTGTCCTTTTATACTCATTAAGGCAACGTGCTAATTTACTGACTTGCTCTTCTCATTTGCTCCAGCTGATTTTGCCTTTTCAACCGTCTTCTATTTTTTACATTTAACCACAAATTTTCCAAGTTCTCATCTCCACTAGAAGACTCTCTCAAAACTTCCCTGTCAGCCATTCCCGGCTGTTCATCAGATAAAGAACCAGAGGAGATCAAAGGTCCTGACAATTCTAATACATCAGGTCTGTCGTCCTTTGTCACGTCCATCTCCTCATCCTGGTTATCAGTCCAATCAGTAAGCCAGGCTGGTTCAAATTGTTCTGAC